CTCTTGTGGTGGTTTTCTTTCATATGAAAAAAGGTCCACGGTTAACCAAGTACTATACATGTTCTGCACAGTAACTAATTTACTCTTTTTTGCCTTTGACAGTAATTCATTACAAGACAAAATGCTAGGAGTCTGAAAATATTGGGTTTATATCCTTGTGTAAATCACAACTTTTCCAAAATAAGCTTTAGAAAGAGTATTTGTCTTTTTGTATGTTTACTGTTTTCAGCAGAAAACATTTTTCTTGGTTGTACAGATCAAATAGTGATTTTACTCTGATTTTTTTTTTTTGCTGGTAGCAGACTTCGTAGCCCCCAGAGTATACCTTCCTGGCTTGAGTTGTTTTAGTGGATCATTCATTATTGAGCCCAATAACCTCAATTATTTGTATGTTTTTTAAACGAACGTATTCAGAAACTTTTTGCAGCAGTATTGAGGTGTTTATTTTTATGTAGGCTTTTAAGATACTTGTGTATCTCACTTGTACTATAAGAGTTATATTAGCAGAGTTGAAATTTAACTTTAAATTCCTATTTTTGTTACTTAATTATTTAATTATATTATTAATTATATTAATTATTTAAAACATACTTGTATGGCTAAGATTAGTTGTACAGTATGAATAACTTTTTTTTTCTGGTGCCAGACATTTTATTGTAGTTTCCTAAAGCGAAAAATAGTTTAATTTTTATTGCTTTGTCATGAAAAAAATGATAGTTGTACCACTTTTATCTTGCATTGTGGAAACACCCTCTTCTACTCTTGCTAGTACTACCAAGTCAGCACAAGGATGGGAGAATGAATTGGATTCTGTTCTTGCTAATTCTATTGAAAATTTATTGTTATCCAAGTTGTAATTGTAGGCCCAGTGGAGTTACCCAGTTATAAATGTGGGCAGATACTTTATTATTAGTGACAAGGCACATTAAAAAGAAAGAACAAAGTCTGGCTGAGTTTGCAAGCCTGGTGCTTGTTTTTTGTTTTTTTTGTAAACTGAGTAAATGTGTTATGGAAATCCTTGACATCCACATACAATACAAAATGTTGATTTTTATAGTCACTTTTTAGAATAGAACTGTGCTTAAAAGAAGGAAAAATGAGATTTGGTACATAAAGAGAGCTGATGCCCACTTTACCAATAATATTTCTAAAAATAATTTTGTGAGTTAGCATATTTTAAACATTACTTTTATTCTAAAAACATTAATATTTTAAGTTAATAATTTAGCAGAATTATTGATCACAAATAGTTGTCCAAATGATACATTTCATTGTGCATTTATAGTTCTGAATTCTAAAAGCGAATATAACTTCCGTTTACTTTGAGCTGAAGTCTTTATGGTATTCTGTCATCTTATGCCACATCTCTAAATGCTTCAAATAATGTATGGACTGAATATATTAATACCAAGTTGTAAACTGCATTTTTTAAGATTACATTTTTAGGTCTGATGAAATGCCTTAGCTTTTTGATTGTACTAAAACCTTTATGGCTGAGCAACTAACAGACCGTGCAGAGAAAATACTAAATCAGATTGATTGTAATTCATTCGTCACACTCCAGAGAGACACTTATCCTGTAACAGGTATTCAGGTGCTTCTACATTTGGGCTCTTGTTTCATAGGTAATGTCAGCAAACAAAAGGATTTGTAATTTTTATTTAGTTTAATTCAAACTCCAGTAAGTAGTTTCATGGTGTCTTCTGCTCTATGTTGAGTGGCTCGTCTCTCTGGAAGAGAGACAAATTCATTCACTAAGGTTTGAGATGATAAAAAGTTACAAATGATGTACAAATGGTTTTTTCACCACTGAGCCAAATCATAATGTTTTTTTGTTTTTGCTAGTCTTGACTTGAATATTTTTCCATTTGTTTACTTTTGATTAAAAACCTGTGTTTGGTTGGCTTTTTTTTGTTGGTGCTTGTCTGTCTTCCAGTTGTGTTGGCTATTAACTCATCTGATTAAAGTTGATGAATTTTCCACTCCCAAACCATTCATCGTCCTGATTTGTGCACATTCTAGTCAAGACAGAATTAGAGTACCAGAGGGTACTTGCTCTGAATATTTTTGGATAGGCAAGATGAAACCCTGGGCCACCACTTTTGTAAATGCAATGAAAGGCTCTCAGTATGTACATTGGAACCTCTTGTAAACGTAATACTGCTTCATACATGGCATTTTGAGGACTTACTAAATTTAAGGTCCAAATTCAATAGTTTTCTGAAGTTGTTGTAAGTATTTGTTAGATGGACTGATTTTTTTTTTATAACGTTGTTATAGCATGCCATAAGTATCTGTGACAGTTCTTACAGAAAACAAAGACAAGGTCTCTGCCTTAAGGAGCTTACTATCTATTTCAAACATATAAGATGAATATGAGGTCAAGGGGGAAGTTTTTTAAGTAGGTGCCCTACAGTCCGTGAAAGTCAGTGTATTATGTATCGACTTTCAATAAGAATAGAGCACCTACCTTTGGCTTTGTTCTTCATATGTCTACTGACTTTCTGAAAATACCAGTTTCAGAGCCTTGCTTTAGCATACAGGTTTTAGGAAAAACAACCTCTGCATGTGTGATTATTTTAGTCTGACATATAGGTAAGTGGCAATTATTTCTTAAGGAGAATTATTTTTATATTGTGTTTTCAGATAAGACTATTTATACATGGGAGCTCAAAACATGAGTTGCATTCTATGCTCCACTTTGATAAAACCACACTCATGCATGTTAATTTTTTCCCCATAATTTGGCAACGTTGATACGGAGCATCAGAACATTCCTTGCTTTTTCTCACCTAACAGTCATAGGTGGTAGCCAATTCCAATGTAAAGTTTTCCTCCTCAGCTTCATTTCAGCTGGTTTCCCAGCTAGGAACTTTGAAAACTAAACATCAAGACGTTAATCTGCTCTGCAATAACTTGCTCACTTTGCTTGAGTGTCCTGTGTTCATAATAGCATGTTGGTCAAATATCCATACTAGTATTTCCAACTTGCTCAGTCACAGAAAAACGAGGCCAGAAGATTTTGTTCTCCCGTAAAACAAATTCTCTTGTTTATTTTTTGTAGTTTAGGTAGGCTTGGATCTATAACTGTGCTATTGTACAGTTAAAATCCCGAAGTGGGCTTGAACCTTGCTTCTGGCAGCACCAAAATTTAATCTCAAAGATCTGGATAAAAAACATGCTCAAGTGGTAGTTTTCTTACCCTTCCATGTCCCTAGAGTCATATACACATTTGCTGTTTGATATGCAAAAGCCAGTTGGTGTTTGGTGCATCTCTCTTTGCTTCTGCACCTCAAATCCTCTCTCCCAGCTATTGGACTGATAACATTTCTTCACTCTGCCAAACTGCAAGGCATGGGGTTTTCTGCTATTCTACCTTTCAGTCATCTTGGTTGTTGCAGTGTGATTGGGAGCACTTCGGTCACTCTCTGTTTCAGCTTTCTAGCTGCTGCAGTAGAAGTTTTATGCTACTTTACTCCGCCCCTAGCCTGCATTTTTGGATCCCCTTCCCAGTGAATAGGTCCAGATCTTGCCTCCAGTGTCAGTCAGATCTGTTCCAACCAACATCAAAGTGAAACTGATTTAATTTTTTTTTTCCAGTTTTGCTACAAGCCCAGTGTTCTAAAGAGCAGCAGTGAAACTGGACAAGACTGGTCAGTTTTCACTCTGCTTCAGTTGGGATAGTTCTGAGAAGTACTGTTGAAGCTCTGCAGACTTTGGAAGATAGACCTGCATTACTTTACATTCTGTTCACCTTTGGAAAGTTAGCTTTGCAACCACAAGAGGTAGAAATTATTTAACTAAAGCTTAGATTCTTTTGAAGGATGAGATGGCACTCATCCGCTTGCTGTGGTTGAGTGGATTTTTCAATCTCTGTATTGGTGAGACTTCCAGTTTGGCCTGGCAGAAATATTTACTAACATTATTTAAGCTTGCTTTATGTCAAAATTTGTGGAAATAACTTAACTTTTGAAAGTAAATATTGTAGGTTAAAGATAAACATGTTTAAAATTAAACTAGGAAAAGAAAATATACATATCAGGCATAATCGTGATTCTCATAAATTACAAATACTCAAGAACTGCAAGAACTGTTTTGAAAACCATTTAGAAATGTAACCATCTAGCAAATCTCTGTTTTGGTGTACGAGTAATAGTCGGCAATGGTGGGACCAGTCGTCCCCCCTCCTTTATTTTTGTCAGTTGTGTATGGGTTGTGTGTATATGTATAAACACTTATTAACGTGATATCTAAGCCCTGACTGCATTTATATAGCCACATGAAAAATGTAGTTAGCTAACAATTAAGGTTGCGAGGTACTAGCCCAAGGAACATACATTACATTTCTCTTTTAAAAATGGAAATAACCCAGTAAAGTTTACTATATAGTTCTGACACCAGTTTGCGGGTGTGTGTTAAGATTGGAATTTTCTGTCTTAGCAATACTCAAATGACCGTATCTCTGTCCTATAGTGATACCCAGACAAACTAAGCTCTGTAACAACCTTATCCATCCACAAGAAACACTTTAGTCTCATCAGAGCCCACAGACACTGAAGTGTCTTACTACTAATCATATATTTGTTGAGCAAATGCTCCCCCCCATTTCATAGCCGTTCACAGGAAGACATACTTTATAAATTCTTAATCATACAGCCTACTATCAGAAGGGCTTAACATGTCCATGTTTACGATCTTTGATAGTGTGCTCTTCCCCAATACTTCATATTTCACTCTTCTCAACTTGTAAGTGCTTCACGTCAGAGTACCTAGCACTGGGGGAGCCCCCTGTTTCTTGGGGCTTATGGGTACTGTTATAATATATTTCATACTTGCTGTAAAGGTATTATACAATAAGTTTTTCTTTCTGTATCTTGATGAAAAGACAATCTTTTTAAAAGAAATAATTATTTTCATAGTACTTAGAACAAAGAATAAAATTCAGCAAATGTCGTTAGGTTTGTTCTTCTGACATCTTTTGTTTTTGATTCTGTATGCAGGATTCTGAGCAACAATAAAATATCAGAGTTGAAGAATGGTTCCTTTTCTGGATTAAGTTTTCTTGAAAGATTGTAAGTACTTATTTAAGAAAATAATTATTATTCACCACTAAATCTTTTGTTTTCATATTTTAAGTATCAAATAAATGTACAAAACAATATATCTCCTTTAAATAGGATCTTCTGTAGTGGGAAGTATGTAGCCATGTCTGCTTCAGCATAAGAATTATTTGATAACTGAGCGATCAATGTACTTAATAGTCTTTTTCTCTATGAAGGTTAAACTACAGTAACAGTTACTACAGAGGGAGTTTTGCAAAAGCCATTTTCTGAGATTTAGTTGGGGGAGGGGGAACAATAAGAAAGTACAAAAAATGATCTCTACAGTACTACAGCATGCACTTTATAGAGACTGACTACTAGCTATAATTTCATTCTGAGTGGTGCTGGGACAAACTCTCTGGGAAATTATTTAGGCCTGGTCTACAGTACACGGAAGTAGCCGAGTTACTTCGAAATACAAACTGATTCTGTCCACACAACCAAACCAGTTTTTTCGATTTAAAGGGCTCTTTAATCTGATTTCTGTACTCTACCTCGGCAAGTGCAGTAGCGCTAAGATCGAGATCGCAGTTCCGGGTTACAAGTACTGTGGACGGAATTCAACGTTATTGGCCTCCGGGAGCTATCCCAGAATGCTCCCTTGTGACCGCTCTGGACAACACTGTCAACCCCAATGCACTAGCCAGGTAGGCAGTAAAAGCCCTGGGAACTTTTGAATTTCGTTTCCTGTTTGGTCACCATCAGCACAGTCCACCATCACAGGTGACCACGCAGTCCCAGATTCGCAGACGAGCTTCAGCATGGTCCGAATGGGAGGTACTGGATCTCATCGCATGTTGGGGAGACGAATCTGTTATGGCAGAACTACGTTCCAAAAAAACCACGCAAATACGTACACTAAAGTCTCCAGGGCAATGACGAAAAGAGGCTACTCCAGGGACACGGAGCAGTGTCGTACAAAAATTAAGCTGCTCAGGCAAGCATACCAAAAATCCGGGGAGGTGAATGGGCACTCTGGGTCACAGCCCCGTACATGCCGCTTCTGCCGTGAGCTGCATGCAATTATGGGGGGTGACGCCACGACTTACCCCACCACTGTCCGTGGACACCTGCAAGGGGGAGTAGCACGGGGCTAGGAGGATGAGTTTTTGGAGGACGAAGAAGAGGAGGAGGACAGTGCACAGGTGGCAAGTGGGGAATCCGTTTTCCCCCCTAGCCAGGAACTATTCTTAACGCTGGAGCCAATAGCTTCCCCCCACTCGCATGGCATGCTCCCGGACCATGACCCTCGAGAAGGCACTTCTGGTGAGTGAGAGCTTGATGGGAGCCACGCGGTGCGGGGGGGGGCGGTAATCCAGCCGCGCTGGGGTGTTCACGTTTGGTTTAAAGGGCTCATCCCTGCTCAGAGCATCCTTGGAGCCACGCGGGGTAGGGGGAGGGTGTTGTGTGAAGTGATCATCCCAGAGAGCCCACAGGGCCTCCTTTTATATGGCAAATCTACCAGGCATTGCTTGCTATGGGAAAGGAGGCCCAGCAGTTGGAAAGCATTGAAATGAATGTGGAAGAAGCAGAACCCCGCATGCCCCTAGGGCTTACCATGGCTGTCTGCAAGCTGAATTCTGTTGCCCAGCTGCATGTGATCGCTTACTCACACCAAAGTGGCAGGCACTCCAGTAAAAGAGGCAAAATGTGACCTTGTACAGAAAGAACATGGGCTGTATACTATGAATTGCCTGTTTCACTAAGAAACAGTGTCCCCTTTGTTCTCTAACATGTATCTTTTAATATACTACCCTCACTTTTTCTTCTCCCCCAGGTGCAAATGTTTCAACGCGGCCCCTATCTACTCCATCCCAGAGGTTGGTCCAGATTAGAAGGCGGAAAAAACGAACTCAGGATGACATGTTTGTCAAGCTCATGCAGTCCTCCCGCACTGACAGGGCCCAACTGAATGCGTGGAGGCCAACAATTGCAGAGTCGCATAAAGCGTTACATGAATATGAAGAGAGGAGGGATGTGTGCACGATAAGAGCAGGCAGGATGCTATGGTCAAGCTCATTGGGAGCAAACTCACATGCTCTGCTCTATGGTGGACATAATGCGGGAAAGGCAGAAAGACCACAGACTGCCGCTGAAGCCCTTGTATAACTGCCCTCCCTCCTCCCCAAGTTCCATAGCCTCCTCACCCAGATGCCCAAGAACATGGAGGGGTGGGGAGGCTACGGGGACCCACACAGTCAACCCCAGAGGATTGTACAAGCAGCAGAAAGTTGGCATATCCGAAATTTTGGTTTGGTTTGGATTCTGGACTTGTCCTTCCCTCCTCCTCCATCCCAATAACCTCCTCCTCTAACCCAATACCCCCCGTCTAGCTTCTGATTTTTCTCAATGTTTCGTGCAACAAACAAAGAATGTATTTTAAACAATTTTGACTTTATTTCCTTTCATATGTATCGGGGGTGGGTAACTTTAAGAGAAACAAACACAACTGTCACACCATACCCTGGCCAGTCATGAAACTGGCTTTCAAAGCTTCTCTGATGTGCAGCGCACCCTGCTGTGCTCTCCTAATCTCCCTGTTGTCTGGCTGTGCGAAACTGGCCACCAGGCGAGTTGCCTCAACCTCCCACCCCGCCATAAACGTCTCCCCCTTACTCTCCCAGATATTGTGGAGCACACAGCAAGCAGTAATAACAATGCAAATATTAGTTTTGCTGAGGTCTAACAGTCAGTAAACTGCGCCAGTGTGCTTTTAAATGTCCAAAATGCACATTCTACCACCATTTTACACTTGCTCAGCCTATAGTTGAACAACTCCTGACTACTGTCCAGGGTGCCTGTGTATGGCTTCATGAGCCATGGCATTAAGGGGTAGGCTTGGTCCCTGAGTATAACTATAGGCATTTCAACATCCCCAACAGTAATTTTCTGATCTGGGAAGTAAGTCCCTTCCTGCAGCTGTTCAAACAGACCAGAGTTCCTGAAGATGCGAGCATCATGCACTTTTCCCGGCCATCCCACGTTGATGTTGGTGAAATGTCCCTTGTGATACACCAGTGCTTGCAGCACCATGGAAAAATACCCCTTGCGGTTTATGTACTGGCCGCCCCTGTGTTCCAGGACCAAGATAGGGATGTGCGTTCGTCTATCGCCCTGCCGCAGTTAGGACACCCCAGCGCATTAAAGCCATCCACAATGGTCTGCACATTTCCCAAAGTCACTACCCTTGATAGCAGCTGGTCAATGATTGTGTTGGCTGCGTGTAGTACAGCTGCCCCCATAGTAGATTTGCCCACTCCAAACTGATTCCTGACTGACTGGTAGCTGTTGGGCATTGCAAGCTTCCACAGGGCTATGGCCACTCACTTCTCAACTGTGAGGGCTGCTCTCATTTTGGTGTCTTTGCACTTCAGGGTAGGGGAAAGCAAGTCACAAAGTTCCATGAAAGTGGCTCTACGCATACGAAAGTTTTGCAGCCACTGGGAATCGTCCCATACCCACAACACTATGCGGTCCCAAGTCTGTGCTTGTTTCCCTGGCCCAGAATCGGCATTCCACAGCATGAACCTGGCCCAACACCACCATGATCTCGCAATCACCACATGCCGTACTTCTAGGAACGTCTGTGCCCATGTCCTCATCTGTATAGTAATCGCTCTGTCGTCGCTTCCTCGTCCGGTTTTGCAGGTACTGCACATATGGCTGGATAATGCGCAAGGTATTTACAACGGTCAAAACTGCAGCGGAGATCTGAGAGGGCTCCATGGCTATGGCGCCTGCACGGGTAATCCTGGAAAAGGGGCGTGAAACGTAGGAGAGTAGAGTGGCAGCGGAAGAGGTACTGTTCGGTTTACGATAGCCGAAAAAAGGCGGGAAATGGTTGTCTTCTGTAGCTTTCACGGAGGCAGGAGCCTAGGATGGACAACACGGAGAAGCTCGGTAGCGCGGCAAGAGCAGGAGACAGAGTTGGCGGCGGAAGCTGTGCTGCTCGGTTCACGATGGCTGAGCAGAGTTGACAGCGGAAGCGTTCGATGAGGAAGAGAAGGAGTAGATACTAGAGATTACATAGGAAGACGAGAGGAAATGCGAGGTGGATTCATAGTAGCAGGAGAGCAGCGGTGCACAGTCTGCTGAAATCAGTATGGCACCTGCACACCAAAAAGGTGCGAAATGATTGTCTATCGTAGCTTTCACGAAGGGAGAAGCGACTGACGAGAGACACCTAGAAACACCCGCAAGAATGTTTTTGCCCCGTCATACACTGGGAACTTAACCCAGAATTCCAATGGGCGGCGGGGACTGTGGGAACTGTGGGATAGCTACCTACGGTGCGCCGCTCTGAAATTTGATGCTAGCCTCGGTACTGTGGACACATTCCACCGAATTCACATGTTTTAGTGGGGACACAGAAGACAGAATGTATAAAATCACTTCCGAAAATTCGAATAGAATAATTTTGAAATAATTTCATACTGTAGACGTAACCTTAGATTACAGTGATGTGATATTGAGATTGCCTTACCGTTCCACTTGCTGGCAGTCCTCATCTGAAAGGGCAAAAAGGCAAGTGTGGCTAAGGGCAGGCTAAGAATAATGTGTGAGTGTACTTTTTTGGGCACTTCAGAACATAAAAGGGGAGGAGAAATCAAGTTCTTTTTGAAGGGGAGTGTACGCTTCTCTTCAGCTTGAAATTTTCCTCTCCCCTATAGGTTTAGTAGCAGCATGTACTTTGTGAGTGTTCATTGCCTTACAAATTCCATATATGTCAACTTCATGGAAAGAAAATCAGGATGTAGCACCCAAAGTGGTTGTCCTCTTTTTCTTCCTCCTCCCGATCTCCTTTGGGTCCCCTCTTCTCCGATTCCCATTGCCTTTCTTCCTTCTAGATCAGTGGTGGGCAACCTGCAGCCCACCAGGGTAATCCACTGGCAGGCCACGAGACAGTTTGTTTAGATTGACCGTACTCAGGCACAGCTGCCTGCAGCTTCCAGTGGCCACGGTTTGCCATT